CAGCAGGAGTTGTAGATAAGGATCAAATTCATATATGCTTCTTTCCTTAACTGGCCAAGAACATTACTTTGCTTTTCTATGCACTCAAGATGAAATGGGACCTCGCAACCCCAAGCCAGCAATAGCAAGACCAGTGTACCCATCCAGCGAGTGTTAGGAATAAAAACACCAGAGGTCAATAGGTTCGTTTGATAGGAATAGAGACTCCCTAATTTCAGAACTATCTCAAGTAATAACAAGTCAGGGAGTTTATGAGAGGATGGAGGTTGTGTTTGTCACCCAAGCTGTATCTAACTAAACACCAGTACTGCCTTTCCTAACATGATACCTGCTCTGAACTGTGCAAGTATATAACTTTTGGGGGTTACTCATGGTAACGTCTTACATGAAGATGAGTGCTGAACTGGGGGTGTTGTGATCCTGTATATCTCACAACATTTCCCAAGGGCAACTCAGCAGCCCATTAACTGTCTGTGTAGCTTATGTCCCTATTCAGGCACCTGAATTGGATGCCTAAAGCCAGTCAGTGTGAGTACCTCCATCTTCCCATTATGTTCTGGCAGCACTTGCAGGTACACTGCAATAATGTGCTCGGTTAGGTCAGGAACTGACGAGCAGCATCCTTTTGTGGTAGATAAAAGACTCCAGCCCGGCATTCAGAGTTAAACACCGATGCTCATCTCCAGCCTATCCTGCCAGAGCTGACATCTATTCCCACAGCTCTAAAGGCATATAAGAAGGAACCAGAGCACAACCAGAAATCCTTAGAGAGGAAGAGCTCTCTTGCAAGCTTCAAAGAATACCTGCAGTTCTGTCTTATGCGCAGTAAGAGTCTATAGCTGTTCAGTTAAACTTCGGGTGTTTGGGGTTTTTTCTCCTAGTAAACCAAGTCTATTTGATACCATATTTTTAGTAAACAGCTGTTAATTCCTCTGGGCAGCACAGTTCCCTGCCTCCTTCATAAGCACTTAGTGCTTTTTACTGAGGACACCCTTTATCACAATACTATCCAGTGGTTGTTCAGTGGTTTTACTTTTAATCTGGCCATGGATAAAGTCCTGTTTTCAAGGCCTCCAGAATAAAGTCTAGAACAACTTCTGACCAAAACAGTGTAAGCAGTTTCTTGTATTTTTAATTTTAGCCTGCATTCATTTCAGTAGCAGAACTGTTTAGAAATAAAGAGGTTTGAGTTTGGTCTTTCTACACTAGGAACTTTTTTCTATTCTTACATAGAAATAGCTCAGTTACTATCACAATTTGCAGAGAAGTTCAAATTTATTAGTGTGTAAATCTTGAAAACGTCATTGAAGTAAGGGAGCTTGATTAAGAAAGGTTTGTATCAGATGCCTGCAATGGAATAATTTAAAAACCCTAATAAGCGTGTTTGAAGTTTGCCTAGAAGATAGCTGACCAAACAACAAACATCAACAAACATTTTTGTTTTGTCACACGCACATCCCCCTCAAGACTTATAATTAAGAAAGTCTTCCTATCCCCTGAAACTGGTTGCTTTGTTCTTAGGGTACCTAAATATTTTAAAAAGATGTAGATCAGTTTTCACAGAGATTGAAGCATTTCAATTGTAGATT